AAGTCACCTAGGAAACACATATACTCCAAACACAAACCCTCACCCTAGTGTCAGGAAACCTGTATGCCAGGGATCGGACCACATGTGGTGTTGGGAATAGGCCCAGGCCCCTTTGAACAGGACAAAATGAGTAACTGGTGTCCAAGTCAGGGAAACCCCAGCTGTGTTGCACTTGTGTCTATTGATTGATGACTGCAGGGCAGTTGGGGTTGTTTGCTGCTTGGTCAGCTGAGGCATTGAGGGAATGGAGACCGGTTTTTGGCAACCTCTACCATGCAAAGTCAGGAAACTGACTGTGTGGGCTGCTGTTTTTCTGGGAAAATGTGCAAGCTGTAATCTAATGGGAATCTTGCCAACAGGCTTAGACAGCTTCTGCTCCTGATGGTCCTTGAAGCTAGGCACTTCTGGCAGGAGGTAGCAGACAGTTTGTGTGTTTCTGGGAAGGGCTGAGCAGTTCTGTCCAGCTATAGGCCATATTCGTCCACATCTTTGATCCTTAAAAAATCCAACTCTGCCGGGCTCGGTGGCTCAGCCTGTAATCCCAGCACTTTGGGAGGCTGAGGTGAGTGGATTGCCTGAGCCCGCGGGTTCGAGACCTGCCTGAGCAACTTGACGAGACCTCATCTCTACAATAAATAAAAAAAAAAAAAGAATCCAACTCCAGCCGGGCTTGGTGGCTCAGCCTGTAATCCCGCGCCTTTGGGAGGCTGAGGCGAGTGTATTGCCTGAGCCCACGGGTTCGAGACCCGCCTGGGCAGTGAGACCTCATCTCTACAATAAATCAAAAAATCAGCTGGGCGTGGTAGCGCATGCCTGTAATTCCGGGTACACAGAAAGCTGAGGCAGAAGGATCACCGGAGCCCAGCAGGTGAGGCTGCGGTGGCTGGGAGCAGCCACTGCACTCCAGTCTGGGCAACCGAGTGAGACTCCAACTCAAAAAAAAAAAAAAAGAATCCAACTCCAGGCCAGGTGTGGGGCTCACACTTGTAATCCCAATACTTTGGGAGGCAGAGACGAGAGGAAGGCCTGAACTCAGGGATTTGAGACCAGCCTGGGGAATTTGGCGAGATTTCGTCTCTACAATAAATAAAAAACATTAGCCGGTGTGATGGCACACACCTGTTTTTCCAGCCACTTGGAAGGCTGAGGCAGAAGGATCACCTGAGTCCAGCAGGTCGAGGCTGCGGTGGCCATGAGCGTGCTATTGCACTCCAGCCTGGGCAACAGAGTAAAACTCCAACTCAGAAAAGAGTCCAACTCTGTGCCAAATGCTGCTTAAAACAAAACAAAGTGGAAAACAAGTTCCCTTTGAATCGTGGAACTCCCTCTGTGAAGTACTGTTTCTTTTGCTTTGCTCCTTTCCCTTCTCTCTCCTTTCCCCTAAGCCCTGTGGGCCAAGTTGTCAGGGTCATATGTTGGTATATGTCTTTTCCTGGTTCCTGCCCAGTGCGATGAGGATAGCTGGCTTAGAGGAAGGTGGGTAGATCAGAGCCTTCCCTCTTTGCCTGAACCTCAGTTTGAGTGGTAGAGACTACTCCCCAAATGCACTGGTGCTGCCAGTCAGAAAAAGGCAAAGATGCATTTCCTGCCAGTGAGGTATTGGCAGGGGCAGGGCACCATGTTATAGGGAACCGAGAAGTGTTAGGAAACAGGTGCATAGGTGCATGGAGTATTCCAGAGGAGGGAAGAAATAGTCCAAAATGAGAAAATGTATGTGGAAAGACTCCTTGCGGAATTATAGTAGGGGTCAATCAGAATGTGAATGTATAGCTACTTGGAAATGGGCTCATTAAGGCAATCCCATGTAACTGCTTTTTAAAAAAAATTATTTTGAGAAATCAGGATTTATTAAGAGGACAGAAAAGCTCCCACAGTGGGGGAGGGGACCTGAAGGGGTTGCCCCATGCAACTGCTTTTTTTTTTTTTGAGTTGGAGTCTCACTCTGTCGCCCAGACTGGTGTGCAGTGGCTGCTCCCGGCCACGCAGCCTCGATCTGCTGGGCTCCGGCAATCCTCCGCCTCAGCCTTCCAAGTAGCCAGAATTACAGGCATGCGCTACCACGCCCGGCTGATTTTTATTTATTGTAGAGATGAGGTCTCGCTGCCCAGGTGGGTCTCGAACCCGCAGGCTCAGGCAATCCACTCACCTCAGCCTCCCAAAGGCACAGGATTACAGGCTGAGCCACCAAGCCCAGCTGCAACTGCATTTTAAAAAGAAAAAATTGTGTGTGTGTGTGTGTGTGTGTGTGTGTGTGTGTATTTATTATTATTTTTTGAGTTGGAGTCTCTCTCTATTACCCAGGCTGGAGGAGAGTGGCATGCTTACGGCCACTACAGCCTCCACCTGCTGGGCTCAGGCGATCCTTCCACCTTAGCATTCTGAGTAGCTGGAACTACAGGTGTGTTCCACCACACCTGGCTAATTTTTTGATTTATTGCAGAAAGGAGATCTCACCAAGTTGCCCAGGCTGATCTAATCCCTGGGCTCAGACAATCCTCCTACCTCCACTTCCCAAAGTGCTGGGATTACAAGCATGAGCCACTGAGCCCAACAAGAAAATATTTTGTATTGTGGTAAAATATGCATAACATAAAATTTACCATTTGAACCATTTTAAGTATAGCGTTCAGTTACCCTAAGCGCACTTACAATGTTATGCAACTATAAGGTTATGTACCTCAGCCTCCTTGGTTGATGGTTTGAATATTCTGAATCCTCAGCAACCTTTTCTTTTCTTTCTTTCTTTTTTTTTGAGTTGGAGTCTCACTCTCGCCCAGGTTGTATTGCAGTGGCACACTGAAGGCCATGGCAGCTCTGAACTGCTGGGCTCAGGCAGTCCTTCTGCCTCAGCTTTCTTGGTAGCTGGAACTACAGGCACACGCCACCACACCCAGCTATCAGCAACCTTTTGCTGGTCATATGTGGTTAATATCAAGCATCATGTATGGGTTTCTACTGTTTTACTCCTGGAAGGTGATGGTTTGTGTAGGGGCCATAGCCGTTGGCACCTAAAGTTTTTCTGAAAAATTATTGAGTTGAAGTAGATTAGAAAAGGTATACAAATTTATTTAACATATATACATGAGAATCTTCAGTATGAAAACCCAACTTCCCAATGAATTACAGAAACTTACATACCATCTTTTTTTTGTTTTTTTTTTTGAGTACGAGTCTCACTCTGTCACCCAGGCTGGAGTACAGTGGGCATGCTCACAGCCACCACAGCCTCAGCCCACTGGGCTCAGGCAATCCTTCCACCTCAGCCTTCCAAGTAGATGGAACTACAGGCGTGCACCATCACGCCTGGTTAGTTTTTTTATTTATTGTAGAGATGAGGTCTCGCCAAGATGCCCAGGCTGGTCTTGAACCCCTGGACTCAGGCAGTCCTCTCTCCTCCACCTCCCAAAGTGCTGGGTTTACAGGCATGAGCCACCACAACTGGTTTATATACCATCTTGAGTATATAGTTGCAGAAAGAATAGGGGCTTGGATCCTTATAAAACAGTTTATGGGAGGGAGGAGAGGAGACTTTTATTAAGGGACAATATATGATTACTAGAGAGAATCAATAGATTTGGGGACAGAGATTAACACAAAAATAGTTCTTTTTGGAATTTATGTATTTATTTTTTGAGTTAGGGTTGTGCTTTATCATCACCCAGGCTGGAGTGCAGTGGTGTGATCATGGTTCACTGCAGCCTCAACCTTCTAGGTTCAAGCAGTCCTCCCAGGTTCAAGCAATCCTCTCACCTCAGCCTCCTGAGTAGCTTGGGACTGCAGGTGTGCACCACCACGCCTGGCTAATTTTTTTTTTGTGGAGACAAAGTCTTGCTTTGTTGCCCAGACTGATCTTGAACTCCTGGGCTCAAGCGATCCTCCTGCCTAGGCCTCCCAAAGTGCTGGGATTACAGTTGTGAGCCACCATATCTGACCTCTCTTGAAATTTAAATGGTCCATGGAAAAGTCCTACTTGTAAAAGGGTCTGCTCAGGTGAGGTCACATTTTGGCTTTCTATTCTGCAATGGATAATGAAGGAGCTGAGAGGGGAAGAAAAACAATCATTCTGTTCTCCTTGGTGGTTCTGGTTCTTAGGCAGATAAAGGAAGACCGTCTATGGCACAGGAGGTGGTGGGCTAGGCAGGGTCAGGGTTGGGGTAGGGCGGGGTTGGAGAGACCTTGAAGAGTCTTCTTTAGTTCAGCATGTCAAAACATCATATTTTGGGTTATTGGTTTCTGAGTCCCAACACTTGTTTCTCTTATTTCTAAGCTTTTGGGGAAATACCTGTTTCTTTGTATACTACAAACATTTAGCCTAAAAAAAAAATGTTCATTTCTTTTTCTGACTTTCCTTCTTTGTGTCATTGATACTGTTTTTGATAGAATTGCTGCAGCGTAAGCCCCTCCTTGTGGGCAGCTTAGTTGCTTAGGCACCTGGAGTGCGAGGAGTGGGGGCCTTGCAAATCACCACCTACAGCTTTGCACAGTCTGGGAGGCCAGTGTCAATGTATGGGGGAAAGCTAAGAAGAAGCCCAGAGAAGAAGCTTTGTGTGAGTGGTCTTGAATTCTTGCTGTACTTTTTCCATGTCCTGGTCTTTGCTGCAGAATGACTTGTGCCTGTGGGTTTGACCTTGTGTTGCTCTGCCAAGCACGACCTAGAATTCAGCTGCTTTAGGTACTTCTTAGGAGTAGATCTGTGCCTTAGCTAAAGCCAGAAAGACAAGGGACTGGAAACCATGATTTCATGACACTTTCCTCTGAAATGAAGCCAGTGGTTCATAGTTACACATACACACTACCTTCTGTTTTTCCAACTGCATAAGGCATTGAGATGTTTTTCATTAGAAAATCAAATGTAAAGCTTCCCCAATAACTACTAGTATGTTAAAAGTCTCTAAATTCATTGCTTTTCTCATTTCTCTATCTTTTGCCAAGAAACATTTAAGAAGGTAGATAAACATTCATTTGCTAACCAAAAATGTTTTGTGTGTGCTTTTTTGAAGGTACATGGGAATAGGACTCTCAGCTCAAGGTGTCAACATGAACAGACTTCCTGGTGAGTCACTGTTTAAGAGAATGTTTGTTCTGCTCTCCTGATCCAATCTGTGATAAAAGTCATGGTAGCCACTGAGAGGCCAGGGAGAACTTTGTTTGCTGGCCACCTACCTCAAGCCAAGCCACTGGATAGAGGATCTTGAAAGGTGACCTTTGGGCCGGGATGGTATGGGTTTCCATTCCAAAAATTAATTGGCGAGTGATTTTCCTTCATGGAATTTGAACTGTTTGCAGTCAAAGCCAAGTGACCTCCCAGTGGGGATACACCTCAGTAGTCTTTGCTCCCATTGGCCTTTGCTGACCAGCCCGGGACTCAGGCATGCACTGGGAGGAAGACTACTGCCCACCCTAGCTCTTTTGTTACTTCACCATGTTAAAGATCAAAGTTTCACCGGGCACAGTGGCTCAAGCCTGTAATCCCAGCACTTTGCTGGGTGGAGGGGAGGTGGAGGGGAGAATATTGCCTGAGCCCAGGGGTACAAGGCTAGCCAGGGCAACTTGGTGAGACCTCTTCTCTACAATAAATCAGAAAATTAGTTGACGTGGTGGCGCATACCTGTGGTTTTAGCTACTTGGAAGGCTTAAGCGGCAGGATCGCCTGAGCCCAGCAGGTCGAAGCTGCAGTGGCCATGAGTGTGCCACTGCACTCTAGCGTGGGTGACAGAGTGGGACTCCTTCTTGAAAAAAAAAAAATTAAAAGTTTCTAAGTGGCCTTTCATGTGGAATGCAGTTTAGGCAATTTCTTTTTCTTTTTCTTTTTTTGAGTTAGAGTCTCACTCTGTTGTCCAGGCTGGAGTACAGTGGCACGCTTCTGGCCACTGCAACCTCGACCTGCTGGGCTCAGGTGATCCTTCCGTCTCAGCCTTCCAAGTAGCCAGAACTACAGGTGCATGCTACCACGCCCAGCTAATTTTTTGATTTATTGTAGAGACAGGGGCTCACCATGTTGCCCTGGCTGGTCTTGAACCTATGGGCTCAGGTAATCCTCTCACCTCAGCCTCCCAAAGTGCTGGGATTATAGCAAGCACTTGAGCCACCACGCCCAGCCGAGGCAATTTCTTAATAAATAGAACGATGTGTGCAAGACTTGCGTTGACAGCAGTCTCCAATTAGTAGAATGGCCTGGACCCTGCAGATGGTCCTCCTCTGCCAGCCTAGCTCCCTTTCAACTGTTTTCTGCCTAGCATCTCATACCTAGTCCTGGGCTAGGTACAGTTAGGGAGACAGAAGCCTCCACCATGATGAGCTGATAGGTTTCAGACGATTGCCTTAAGGAGTGACATGGTTCAAGCTGCCCTGATTATCATGGAGACAGGCAAAGTCCTTGTGTTTTTGTTCTGACCCTTTACTCTTTTCTTTGTGCCTGGCACAGGGAAGGCAGCTGACTTTCTGCAAAAAGGGAATAACACTGAAACCATATGTTTTTTCTAATCTATATTTAATATCAATCACAGATTTTTCTCTGGTAGACTAATTTCAAAGACTTTCAATCTAGACTTACTTAGGATTCAACTAATTGTCAGGAATCTGACTTTTTTTTTCTTTGATCTGAGTGAAAACTGGCCTTTCATTATTAATCAGAATGTGTGTGGCATATTTGACTCTTTTGCATGGTATCTGGCTGTGCTCTTTGTTATACAGGCTTCTAGCCTTAGCCGAGTAGATTTGCCTGTAGTGTCCATAGCACTGCTTCTTTTTTTTTATTATTTATTTTTATTTAAGGATGTGGGGTACAACTCAAGATTAGATATACAAATGGTCATTGTGCAGGGAAGTTTGGGTCTCACTTTGGTCCCTACTTGTCCGTGTCATGCCCCCCCCCCAACTGGCTCTGGTCCTTAGTGAGCAGGAAGAATGATTTCCAATCAAGGGCAAACTGATTCTTTTTCTTGCTTGAAATGTGCTCTTTGAACTTTTGCACTGCTTTGTAAGTGGAGAAAATAGACTTTTATGGGCTTAATAAATAAAAGTAACTACTATAGTCTGTTATTGGATAGTAGTTCAAGTAACTCTGAACATTGGTTAAACACATTTGTGTTAATCTCAAAAAGGAAAATTAATGCAGCCATAAAAGAATGAGAGCACTCTTTTTTTTGAATTGGAATCTCACCGTTGCCCAGACTGGAGTGCAGTGGAACGCCCACGGCCACCACAGCCTCAACTTGTTGGGCTCAGGGGATCCTTTCGCCTCAGTCTTCCAAGTAGCTGGAACTACAGGTGTGCACCATCATGCCCAGCTAATTTTTTGATTTATTGTAGAGACAAGGTCTCACCAAGTTGCCCAGGCTGGTCTCAGGCAATCCTCTGACCTCATCCTCCCAAAATGCTGGGATTATAGGCATGAGCCATCATGGGAGGGCACTTTAGGTATTGATTTGGAGTAACCTGTAGGGTGGTATCATATGTTACCAAATGCAAAAAAAAAAAAAAAAAGAAAGAAAGAAAACAAATTTGTAGTTACTTGTGCACGCATAGCACATCTTTGAAAATCTACATAAAAACTTGTAATATTGGCTGTCCTTTGGGAAGGGATGGGTGGCTGGAGACAGGACTGAGAAGAAAAAGTTTTCACTTTCAGAGCTTTTGAATTTTCTTTCTTGTGAATATGTTATTTAATGTTTTAAAAATACAAATCAAATTAAGGCTAGGCTCAGTGGCTCTCATGCCTGTAATACCAGATCTTTGGGAGAATGAGGCTGGATGATCACTTGAAGCCAGAAGTTTGAGACCAGTCTGAAAAAATAGTGAGACCCTGTCTCTGCAGGAAAAAAAAAAAATTAGTTGGGTCTGGTACATGCCTATAATCCTAGCAACTCAGTAGGCTAATGGGAGAGTCACTTGAATACAGGAGTTCATGGCTGCAGTGAGTTATGATTACATCACTGCATTCCAGCCTAGGTGACAGAGTGAGATCCCCATCTCTTTAAAAAAAAAAAAAAGGCCAGGCTTGGTGACTCAGCTTGTAATCCCGCACTTTAGGAGGCTGAAGCGAGTGGATTGCCTGAGCCTGCAGGTTCGAAACCCACCCAGGCAACTTGGAAAGACCTCATCTCTACAATAAATAAAAAAATTAGGCCGGGTTCAGTGGCTCAGCCTGTAATCCCGCACCTTTGGGAGGCTGAGGTGAGTGGATTGCCTGAGCCCGCGGGTTCGAGACCCGCCTGGGCAGTGAAACCTCATCTCTACAATAAACCAAAAAATCAGCTGGGCGTGGTAACGCATGCCTGTAATTCCGGCTACTCGGAAGGCTGAGGCGGAAGGATCGCTGGAGCCC